GAAAAAGAAGATCAGATGGACAAAGAAAAACAGCAGAGAAAGCCCCTTTATACCTCCCTATGTCTCTAAGAGAGGAGTGGAAGGATAGGGAGGTGGATCCATAGTTAAGTAGATAGATGCATGGGTGATAGTTAGGTAGGAAAAAGGAAATTAAGTTGGTCTCGTGGAAACCATGATTTTCTTGCTGCCATGACTGGCTGTGCTGTATTTACTGGCGGCAGTGTGGCTGAACTGCTCAGAAAAAAAGGGGTAAAATATTCCAATCAACTTGCTCCACAAGCCACCCGCCGAATCAACAAAACTCTAATATTCCCCTCACTAAGCCCCGGCAGTTGTCTGTGATACACCCGTTGCTAACAGGCTTATTATAAAAATAAATAAATAAATAAGTAAGTAAGCCTGGCCATGAGATACACTTCCACACCACAAAACTTCATTCAGCCCTGCTCTGCTTGTAAGGCGTGTGGTGCAACAAAGCAGACAGCCAGTTGGGGATTTTTCCTGAACAGAGGGATGCTGTTGCCAACTACGTGGATTCTCCCACACAAAGTTATCTGAGGACACACACAAATGGGAAGGAGCTTTAAACGTTAAGAATTAAATTCAGCAGGAGTTGTAACACTAATGCAGACAGGGAACTCTGCGTGGCCTCAGTGACATAAACCAAGATTTTACTGGTGCCTTCATTTTCTACACCCCTATGTAATAATAAAGCATGGCATTTTCATATGAAGGCATTTTATTTAAAGGTTTTGTATGTGACGTTCAGAGCATTAAAACAGCAGCAAACTACTGCTCGCTGTGTAAAGATAAAATGAGGTGATGTCATTCTGAGCAGAGAATGAAGTCACATTATCTGTATTTGTTCTAATCTGGGCCTCTCTGTGTTTTGTTGTATTAAGCTGGTTCGGCCATACATGCATTTTAGTATGTATCCTACTGGCTAGCTCGTTGCATTCGCTTTCAACTGCGCTCATACAGCAGTTACAGCTGATATCGGGACAGTGGCATTGTGTAAGCGTAGCACCCAAATCCCACCTGGTTAACCCTGATAACTCTGACAGTACTGTTGCCGTTGTTCATGGAGTTAGCATCATTTGCTGCTAGCCACTGGCTCAGCCACCTGCATGTTGTGAACCATAACTCAGATGCTCTAAATTTCAGATAGAGCTCCTCTAAAATTAATAAATGCTTTTATATTAACCATGGTTCAAATTAATACATGCTTGTGATGCCACTTTTAGCAATCTCTGCAGTGTCCCTTCAGCTTTAAGGGGCCGCACATAACCGCCTGGAAAAGGTCAGGCAGGTCTTTTTCTTTTTTTTAATTTTAATTTTTTAGAAAACAGGCGAAGCAATACTGGTTAATTTGGAATAAACAGAACAGTAACCAAGCAGAACAGACTAAAAATAAAAGTGCACCAGCTAAAGAAACTTAAACTTCATAAATAGAAAATCAAGCAAAGTACCACCTACACTGTTTGGAAGGTAAAACAGTACAAAATCACTGCAGCAATTAAAGCTCAGCGACCAAAGTTAAAGTGTAATTAAACAGACAATTTCCACTTTAATAGCTGCATATGTCACGTCAATATGTTTTGCCATCGAGCCATTTTGGTACCCAGGATGCCTTTTGACACCTTCTGGAGGTGTCATCGGGCCTCAGGCTGTGATCAGACATGATGCTTTTCTTTAGGTGCTGCTGTGAATGTCGAGTAAGAGACGGAGCTAAAGGCGTGCGCTTCTTCTTCCTTGTTGCTATGCAACAAAAAATGTTTTCAGTATTTTTAAACAATGGCTTTGGCTTTTTTTGTATGTTTACTAAAAAAGTATTTACTAGAGAGTGAAACAAGTGAGGGCAGACAAGAAAGATGGAGAGAGAATTATGTAACACAAATCGTTGCCCTGATTCATTTTGAGGATGTTAAATCTACTGTACACGATGTACCAGCTACAAGACATCTCTCAACATAAAGGAGCACTCCACTGATTTTACCCAAAATTTTACCAGTCATAGAGAGTACTACTCACGGTGGCAGTGTTAAGTCTTCTGCTAATGTCAGTGTCATGTCAGTGTAACATCAACTAACGAATCACGGTGAGAAGACTCTGTTAGAGACTCTATCCACAGGCAGAGGAGATTTTGCATGTGTTTGGGAGAGACAAGCATTTACACCTTGTAAACATCTGTCTCAAGGTGATTTTAGCGGTCAGATTTTAGGCTGTTTTTAAAGCATCTTGGATACATTTACACTTTGTCAATACCCTGAAGTGATCCTCTCAAGACACATGACATGACTAAGTTCAAATAAGGCAGTAGATACCTTTTGACCTTTAACATTTATTTAGTGTTAAACGTTTTGGCACATATGACAGTACATGACAGTCTATGACAGTATGACAGTATATTAAAGCTGGATCTCTGTTACTTTGCCTTAAATTGCATTACATCCAAAACACAAGGCACAGTCTGGGTGAGATGTGTGCTTGCAAAATGACTTACAAGAGCAGCTATATAACAAAAAGCAACCTGTGGCCTAAATCAAAATACCACATCCTACATACACACCGAATTCTACTTCCCTGTTTCCTGTTTTCACCCACCTCGGTATGGTATACAGTTGATGATCAACATGATGCAGACAAATCTAAACTCCCAAACTATTTTTTTTTTTCTGTAAACGCTTATATTATGTGAGCAGCACGCTGGTCCGGTCACCTAACAGCAAGAGGGTTCTGGGTTCAAACCCACTGGCTGGCTTGTGGGGTTTACAGATTTTTCCCATGTTATCGTGGGTTTTCTGTGAGTAGTCCAGCTTCCTTCTTGCCTGGGTCTAGACCTTAAAATCTGTCCACTCCACAGAGTTAACTGATTCGTTTGGCATGATGACATGAAACAGATGAAGTAAGAAACAACCAGTGAGTGCTGTGGGGGGACTAGCGATCAGCCACTCGGCACCACGCTGTTGTCAAAAGTTTGTCAAGCAGTGCACCTGAGGAGTAATAACGACAATACCGAGCGCTGTATAGAAGATAAACGCTGCTATTGAGGCTGGTTGAAATCTATATGTTCTTTCAATATTGGCTGATATCACAGTTTGTTTTTACTCCCCTCCACTCCCCTCTTGAAACCCCAGAAAAACAGTATGTTGGCATGACTACGCATCAGTATGGACTTAAAATGACTTTAGATTCAGCTGGATATGTTGGCTTCTAGTGATTGGTGAGGGAAAATAAAATCCCCCTCCCCCTGGGAAATCAGTTAGCGTGGACGCAATGTGAGACTGAAGATGGAAACATCTAGAGTCAAACGAGATGACACTTCTGTCTGATATCAGGCGAGCTTCCTCCCACAGTCCAAAGACATGGAGGTTATTGGTGACCCTAAATTGCCCATAGGTGTGAATGTGAGTGTGAATGGTTGTCTGTCTCTATGTGTTAGCCTTGTGATAGTCTGGCGACCTGTCCAGGGTGTAGTCTGCCTCTCGCCCCATGTCAGGTGGGATCAGCTCCAGCTCCCTGGGACTATCTAAAACACTAAATCAAACTACTGATACTTAATAATAAACTAAAATGTTTAATAAACAAATGTGGCTGACATTCAAACATCAGCTTGATAGTACTTGTGGACGTGTGTGCTAAGAATGTGTCATAAACACAAACATATGCCTATAAAAAGGTGGTGTAAACTATGACTTGGTGGGTTTGTATCCCCTGCATTTGTGGTTGCATCAGATCCTGTTTTGGTAAAGGTAAAAAAAAGTAAAGCACGCCAGTGACTTGACATTTAACTGAAATGTTTCTGATAAAGGAAAACAAGTGTGTGTGTGTGTGTGTGTGTGTGTGTGTGTGTGTGTGTGTCCTGACTGTTTGTATCAGAGCTGACTTCCCATGAGCTTGATGTAAAAACACCTCCGCACAAGGTAAACACTCTGTTACCATAGAATCTGTAACTATGGAGAGGGAATCAGGCTCAGCTTTACACAACCAACAGATGGGAGGACACACACACACACACACACTTGCAAAACTACAAGGTGGAAAGGCATTTAATTTAAAACTATAAATCTTTAACCTTGATGACTTGGTAGCAGTGTTCCCACAAATGACATTTACAGGATTAAACTGCATTGAGAGGTTGAGAGAGTGTGTGTGCCTCTTTCTTTTGTGTCCACGGCAGTGTAACTAATAAGAAAGGTATTAGTTTGTCTTAACCTGCCCTGGGAAAGCTATCCCTCACATTTCAATTAAAAAAAGAATATCCCTCTTTATTCTCAGCCCTTTGTTAGATACCGATGTTAATGCATCAAACAAGACTGGAGTGTTCCATCTGTGTACATACATCAAATGTATATGAGTGGGTGTATGTAGAGCGCTTTGTAAACAGCTGAGTCTCTTGGCTACATGTACAGCTGGAATCCCACACTCCACTTAACACTGTTTTCACACAGGAGCCAGATGAGCACATGAGTAAGACGCACATACAAAACAAACTAGCATCTCTTATCTGCTCACATGCATGTTTTACTCCACTGTAAATACAATCCAGTGTGCACAGTTAGTATGTTGATAAAGTTGACAGCCTCCCCTCAAGTGGAAATCAATTGATGGGTCGAAATGCATGATGGAGCGACGGAGTGCGCACACAGATAAAAATAAATCTGGGCGACATGGCAGCAGACATTAATAAAGATTGTTGTTTTGCACAGGGACTCGCTGCAATCTTGTCCACTGACTTCCAGAAATGGCAATATGAATCCTGTGTACCGCAGCTCTGAATGATAAACATAAAGAAGACTGATGTGCCTGTGGAGATGCATACAGTACAGTCCTCTGTGTGTCATACTGTGAATCTCTCAGCAGTCAAGAAAATGATTAGTGTTCTGCAGATGGTTTTACTGTAAAGGCGTGAATCTGCTCAGTTTACAAAGTTAAATTAAAAAGTAATGCTCTGATCTTGTTATATAGCATATAACTACATTGACGTTCTTTTAATCCAGTTTCAAGCTTCAGGCTGCTCTGTGCTGATTTTACTGGAAGACCTAACTGGACTGGACAACCTGTTACATCTTGAGAGCATTTGACCAGCATCATCCAGCTTCCCCAGGTAAATTATTCATGCTTACACACTGTTCTATGCCATGCATCCTGACATAACATACCATAGTATATATTTATCTCTCAGAGCTCAGCACTATGCTTAAATTATTCCATGGACTGCATTTATATTAACCAGTAGGCCTCTTAGTTGCAGTTCTGCTCCTCTTTGGGTCAAGTAAAATGAAGCTTTCTTTCTGAATTCATTATACATGTTAGAAAATACTTGTTGAAAACATGTGGAAAGACTTAAAGTGTACAGAGCTGAATTGTGGAATTAGCCCGAGAAACTGTTTTTTTTTTTTTTGTGTGTGTGTGTGTGGATGTGTGTTTTGTGCTAACGTTAGCTGCTGAACGATAGGCTGCCACTGCACAGCTTTGGCTAACATTGTGTACTTTGTGCTACTGGGTTAGCTGCTCATGAGAGTCTGTCACTTCACAGGGACTATTCTTCGTTTCAGCCCCTTAAGCGGACACGCCCCCAGCATCTCAGGGCATAAAATACTGCTAATGTTTTTACGGTTTTGAAACTTTCTTGCCCACAGCTGACTGTACCGAAGAGTAACAAGAAAGACAACAAGACTCACTTTGCAATGTGGGGACCAAAACATCCCCAGAAGTACCCTAAACAGCACACTGACTTCTCAACTTAAAGCAAGTCAACTGAGGGGTCTCTGACTAATGATTCGAATCTTTGACTTTCAAGGGGCAGCCCTAGACAAACTCAATACACTTGTACTTTAGTGTCAACACCACAAAAACAAGCAACAAACAAAAAGGCACAGAGCTCTTCAAGACAGAGCAGGGAGCCTTGAGGAGGCTTTGGCAGCTGGATTTTCTTTACAGGTATAGAAACTTTGGCTGTTAGATGTGGTCGGTTGATACATCTTACAAATACAAGTCTACTGAGTCCTTTACTTTTTAACAATGCTCCAGTAAGAGCCACTTGGAAACTTTTTGAAACTCAGAAACTTGAACTAATTCAGTGCGTTTTGACATACTTCCTGAGTGAATAACATGAACCTATGCAGACATTTTGTTGTACATTGTGATGAGTTCACATTATTTTACTGTGAACTGCCGTCCATCTCGTCCTTAAAAGAAGTGATAAATCCAGTAAATCAAAATGTTTTGAAGCCATATCCAAACATTCACCAAATCTTCGTGAATTCCAACTACAGAATTGTGATCTTGTAGCTGCAGGCTTTCTACTCTAACCTTTAGGCTAAGAAAGTATTTAAGAGTCCAGGGACGAAGGCCAAGCAGGCTCTTCAGTATGTCGGCCACTGGACCGGCAGCCAAGAGGATTGGCTCTGTAGTGTTGCCCAGGTAAATGACATCCCAGATTACCATCAGATAATTGAGGATGAAGGCAGGCGGCAAAGGTGACAATGACAGACAGACACTGTGACCTGCTGACCGATCCAAGGAGACAATCTAACATCTACCTGCTGACAGCTAACAAGAGAAAAAGAGACATGCAATTATGTTGTCTGGGGCAGAACTTCAGGAGGACTGCACTAAAACAAAAACCCATTCATTCTCATTTTAGCCATTTAGCTGATGTCATTATACAGATGTACTACATTGCGCATAAGATGGAGAAGCCTTCTTGTTTTTCTTGTACCAACCCAGGGTTCACAGATCCTTAAAAGTCTTAAAAGGCAGTGAATTCAATAATCTTAAATTAGGGCCTTAAATGTTTTAAACCAATCTTTCAAAAGTCTTAAAAATGCTAAGATGTTAAAAATATGATTTTATGATGCATCGCGATTCAGTGCACGTAGTTGCAAGCAGAGTTTATGGTATGTCCATTAATGCAGCAAACCTAATTTCATAAGCGCAAGCTCACCTAGAAACTTTTAGCTGGCGTGCGAGCCAGTCACACTATGACAAGCGCAAATAAAATGCTGGAAGACATCTATCTATCTATCTATCTATCTATCTATCTATCTATCTATCTATCTATCTATCTATCTATCTATCTATCTATCTATCCATCCATCCATCCATCCATCCATCCATCCATCCATCATTAATACAAAACAAAAGAGGGGATAAAAACCATAAAAAGTGCATATGAGGTTGTGGTTGAAACCTATGCAGGCTTATATATAACCACATCCAGAAGACGTACAAATAGTAAAATGCAGTCAAAATTGTTAATACATTTTTAAATACTAGAAGTCAGTAAATGTTACCATATAAGTTTGCAGTTAAAATTGAGAGTAACTGTCATCCTAACTGCATGACCAACAGTTTCTGAGAGTGATCAATATTGTTCCAAATCAAATGCTTTTGACAACAAAGCATTTCTAAGTTTTTTTTGTACAAAGACACAACAGAATCCAGTAAATGAACATTTTCAGTCCATAAAACAACTCCACGATATTTAATAGAAAACTGACCACAGATGTTTTATACAAAGGCAGGTGAAGATTGTGAGCCTGTGTAGTTGTGAGTTATTAACATAATACTATCTAAAACTACAAGGTAAATCTATAATCTTATATTTCACTTTAAATACAAATGCACAGATTTGAGGAATATTAATGTCAAAATTAGCCACTAATTGTAATATAAAAAAAAGAGAGGTGCACTTGATACAATAACCTTAGAAAAGGTCATTAATCGAACAGTTTCTGCAGCAGCAGTATTTTGTACAGATGCGGGAAAAGTGCTACCCTTATAATAAACCGCAATATTTTAAATATGGATAAAGCAATCTATAATATAATATTAATAAACTTGTATTATTTTTCCAAGAATCCCAAGAGATTTCATTGTTCAAACAGTGTATGACAGAAGCGTTTAAAATGTTCATTTTTAATAGTTTACCACAGAGGTCATATTTTCTGTTACAATAAATATTTGCGCAAACTGTCCCTAACCCTAAGTAATTCTTGGTTATTTTGTCTTCTATTTTGGTTAGATTTTATTCCAAGTGCCATTTAAAAAGTCTTCAATCTAATTTGCCTTGAGCTGCAGGAACCCTGCCAACCAAGTGTAAGCTGGATATCAAGCTTGATCTTACACACTAATTCTCTCTCCCCTGGTGAACAACAATTAGCAGTAGGTTATCATCATTTTACTGTAAACAAACAAACAAACAAACAAACAAAAGTTAAGCTAAAGTAAAAAGAGCACACTGAGCACTTGAGCACTGAGTTGTAAGTTCTGATCCTATTAAAATGAAGAAGTATCAGTATTAGTACTGAAACTATCTGAAAGGCAGAACTGGTGTTGATGAACTCCCAACAATACTCATCCTTAGTGATGTGATAAAGTCAACCAGGGCTGCTTGGGATTGACCCTAAACTAAAGATCAATACTACTCTTCTCAATCAAGTGTACCTGATGCACAGCTTGTCACTGAGAGCTACGCTAAGTGACACAATCATGTTCTCGTGACACATCCCACTCAGGGGAACTGTCTCTGCACCGCTGAGTGAAAGCTACAAGCATTTTTTTTTTGAAGAGGTGTGACAAACGGCACTGAGGCTAAACAGCATGTTGGAAGAGGAAGGCTGTTTACAGTCGTCATCTCGGGCGCTTGGCGTGTTGACCCCTTACCGCCACACATCTGCAATTACAACTCAGCAATGTCCCCTGAGTCGACTCATAGTGGGCACCACTGCACCCACCAATGAAGCGGAACAAGGGGACAGAGAATGCATGACTTGCCATCCATTCAGCAGGACTGAGCTTTTCGCCTCACCCTCGCCTCTCCTGCTTGGCTAACCAGGCCTGACCCAAATATGACGTCCCCAAATGAGACATGGCTTTAGCAGCACCCGGGGAAGTGTCAGCTCTTACTCCAACGCAGTCCCTCTATTTCTTTCTTTACCTCTTTTTTTCCTCTTTCTTACTCCTTTTAAATAAGCTGATCTCTCCGCAGCCTTTCTTGCTCCAGCGATCTTTTGATTTTCGTCACTACCTGTGCCTTCACTCGGTCTGCCACATTTCTCACCTGCGCCGTCAGATAGCTGGGAGCTTAAGCTAATGGTGGCATTATAATATTACCTTGAAGTGTCTCAAACTTTCAACAATCTTAATGCCATAGCTCTTATCTCCCCTCACTTAGTCTGCTGATATGCCAGCCCCTGGTGAAGCAAGCTGCCTAAATGAGATGCATCGCTTTCCTCTGAGAATCCAGGAGCTGCTTTGTTCAGTCTATTGATCTACTTCTTCCCCTTTTATACTGTAAGAACACACTTCAGCACTGAGACTCAATGACACAGTGAATGGCCTTTCACTGTGAAATGAGTCAGGCAGCTTACTGTGATGGAGTCATGCAGCGCCGCTTGAATTCAACAGTTTGTATTGTCTTATTAAAACCCAACACTGTATCAATGAAAGAAGCACCTCTAATTATGAAAGCATTTCTTTGAGGCACTAGTCATTTTAAATTCCTTCACAAGTAACCAAACACTTCATAACTGCACTGACATGATTAATACACAGTTTTTTGTTGTCATTTGAGAGCAAATGAAGCTGTCGCAGTAGGAGGTCTTTGAATTTGTAACAAAGCTAATCTTGGATTCTCTTTTGAAGGAAACGTGCATTTACAGTAAAACTCAAAGGAACCAAAAAAAAAAGAAAATAGAAGTGTTTGCAAAGTGAGGAGGAAGTAAGCAATCAGCATGAGCCATGTTGGTGTAAATTCATTTGAAGATTCCAGCTTAAGGCAGCAGCCTTCATTTCATTATTTCTTAAATACATAGATTAGTTTGCTGGTAGCTTTAAAATCACCATTCAAAATTACGTTGTTGTTTTTTCCACTTGCATAGTCAGACAAGTTGATCAGAGAAATGGACTTTTTACTTGCCCCTATAAAAATTTTATTTATTAGCAGTCATCAAATAACAAAGACTAAAGTTAGCTGTCATGAAAAACGACTGCCAATTCAGGCAGGCCCTTGCTAGTTAAACAATAAACGAGTTAATGAGGTGGCAGAGGGCAGAATGCTGACAGCAACTGAACCGTCATTTATAGTACACAGGTTTCAGC